CACACACACACACCAAGAAAACCAAACAGTGACAAGACAATTATTCACACCAGTGGTGCATCTTAAGGTTCGTATGCCTGTAAAAAAGACATCTGTCCCTATTAACAATCTGTTTGAACTCCACTTTTAAAGGTTATCTACTACAAGAACGTATTGTGGTTTCTAAAACATGCATGTCACGTCCCTCATAGTACGCCCTGAATACTATTTGTATAGTATACGTGACCACCAAAGTCTCTCATTTTTACGACATTCTTGCGACGTCACACATTCGTCGCAAGAATGTCGTACGATCACAAACTGGACCGGGAATTCTTGGGGTTAAATCGTGAATATATGTCCTGCGAAATCCAATTGTCTTGTTAGTACAAGGGCTTAGATCATTGGCATTATCACTGTTGTTTCTGTCACAGTCTGCCTTCAAAATCCGATCGTACGATTTTTATCAAAATCGCACGACGACCTACGATGAACGTAAAACTGTCTCACCTGTCACGATGATTTCACAATCGAGTCGTCATTGTCCCCAGGTCTTGTTCCGTATGCGTAATAGTCGTCGTTTCTGGAACTTCTTATAACAGATGGTACAGACAACCAAGACATTTGTAGACAGCCTTTAAACAGTACTCAACAGCCCAAATGTCTTGGAAAACACATCTGATATCCTCATTGACTCCGTGACTCGGCTAGGGTCAATGTCAATGTCTCAGAGTGAAGCTTACAGTACATAAAATCGCTTGTTTGTTCCTGTTAACCCCTTACGGGGGCCTCACATTTGGGAAGGTTAGACTCAGACAGCCAGACTGACCTTTTTGTAGGTCAGCATTGTTTGTGGGGCGGGATATACGGGCACAGGGGGGAGGGGGGCACAACCTGTTTTTCCACTTCTGAAATCGTTACATATGTTGCAGAGGGTTCAGAATTATATTTTGCGGGCTATTTTGATATAACTTGAAGAGAAAACTAATCAAAAGAGTAGGGAAATAGCTCAAAACTAGATATATTCACTGTTCCTGTGACTTGACAGGAAGTCGCTTTTAGGCGATAGGGGACAATTCAGGAAGTGATTCGACAGGTGACCACAACCCACTAACGTGACATAATGATACGTCCCTGATGATACAGTTGATACAACTGTCTGCCTACTAAACACAATAGGAGTGGTCCACTTTTAATCGCACTTGTTTCGAGGAAGATTTCGCACAAGATCTATAGACTATTTTACTACCTACCTACTCTCTCTATATAAACCGGAAGGATATTCATAATGGTTTGCCGGGTTATAATCACGTGAGCACATTTAGATGGGTCTTGTGACCGTTCCCTGAGCATCGGAGAGGCCTTGAGCAGCTACCTTCTATTTTAGTGCAAATGGACACAAGCAAATTCATAGTTGTGATGCAAACTTTGAATTCTGCCAACATTTATTGATTTCAGCAAAAGTGCCATTTTTAAACAAAAGCTTGCCAGCTATACAGCAATTTTAGTGCAAATTGAACACAAGCAAAACCACTAAAATGTGATCGGTCAATGCAAACACTTTGAATCCTGCCAACACAATAAGTTGAGTGTCCCTCTTTCTGGTGTTCAAATCCTATCAAAATGCTCCCTGCAGTTTTTAACAAAAGCTTGATAGTCACATGCTCTGCGTATGATCCAAACGGCCTAAATATAAAGACCGTCAACCATGTGATTTTCTCAGTTTTTTCTAGCTTCACGACGAAAGGAGGCAGCGTAGACGTCCTACGTTTTCTCAAAGTTGTGCTGATTTTGATACCCGAAAAATGAAGAACGCCATGTTGGGAGAAAGAGGACACAGTAAGCTGGTGCCTCTGGTGTCTGTGTTTCTGCTAGGCGCGTGTTTCTGTGCTGTGGTTGTTCTCGGCAAGAGCTGGCTGGAATTTTCTCCGATGAAAGGTACGTTTTCACTTTCACCTGACGTAGACGTCTTTTTACGACGTGATAATGTGAAACTAATATTAATTGAAATATAAACTGAAACGGAAACGTGTGTATCAGTAAATACTGAGGTCACATCTCTAAACCACTGTTTCGATTAACGAAAAATCAACAATCTATAGCAATAATATACGCAAATAGTGACCCATTATTGATTTTTCCAACTTTTTTGTGCTTTTTTGTCTTTTATATCATACTTTTCGTTCCATAAGTCTGCCAGGCCGGGCCCGGTTTGGAAATGTGACCTCAGCATAAATGAAAATTGATGTTTGGGTTAGGATTAGAGGGTGTCTGAATGATTAAAATCATGCAGTGTTTCTAAAGATTGATATAATTAATACACGCTAAAGTATGCTAATTACTTCCGAACAACATGTATGTGCTATCAACTTTTTGTAGTAAAGCTTGAAGTCGACAGAGGCTATTCAGTTTTCGCAAATGGAAGAGATATCGCGTGGTACTAAGATTTTGATGCGTACATTGTATCTCGGGACTTAGAATGATACTCGGCCTTAGCATTGAAACGTTTTCAATAGAATACATAGTTTTAAGGTTAATTGAAGCATGGAGGTAGAAGAGAATATATCGGTCAATAGTTTCAGTTGCAGATAGTAATAAAATCTGTGTCCTTTTAGCAGTTGGCGTTGAAGTTGAAGTTGAAGTACCGTCGAACAAAGAGGCAGAACAGAACTACGGTAACCCCGTCCTCACACCTTACGTTAACGTGGCCTTCTCGGTGGCCCGGACGGACCCTCTCGGTCCTTTCCCGAACGACACGACGATGCAGTGGAACTACATGTTCGCTAACGCGGGAGGGGCGTTCGATATGGGCACCGGAGTGTTCACGGCACCTGTCGGAGGTAGGTGGTACTGCAGTACTTTTTTTTTGGCGGTGGGTAGGGGAAACTTCAAGCAGATGTAGGGTTCGGCTCTGTGTTGAAAATTTTCTATTCTAGCTGTTCTATATATATATATATATATTTGTTTGAAACATGCTGTGTTTTTTTGTATTTTGAACACGTATAGGAACGTACTACTTTTCTTGGAATGGACAGAAGCGGTCCAACACGAACGACATGGCACTGTACCTGGAAATCAACGGCGCGGGGCAGGCCGGGATATACGAGGACAACTGGAACGGGGGTGGAGGCATCTTCACTCCCACCCTGAACCCGGGTAACGCGCAAAGTGACATGGTCGTCCACCTGTACCCTGGGGACAGGGTAAGCTAATTTTTTTTTAAGCTACAAGTATTTTCTATTTGAAGCTCCTTTTTTGTAATTTATTCCGCGAAAAAAATTCTATGCTCTTTTATCACTAGTAACTACCACGTACTTCTTATGTTTCGTTATGTTTGTGGGTGTTTTCTCTATCTTCTTATTGCGTTGAATGTATGCCCACTCCTACATTTGGCTTTCTTTTCAATTATCTTTTGATATTAATGGCACTTGTCTTGCATTTTGATAATAGTCAACGAAAATTAATGCCCCCCTCCCCCTTTTCCAGGTCCACCTCCGTTTGAATGACGAGGCCTACCCATACTCCACCAGTTTCGGCAAGTACACAGGCTTTACGGGATTTCTCCTGTTCGCCGATTTTTAGACAGTCGACCAATCACGGAGACTACTTAGTTGCGCCCCCTTGTGTCTCTGCCTGGTAGGGCAACCTAGATCATCGCTCTATACACAATAGATTAGATGGGAAGATTACAATAACTCACTTTGTTTTGTAAGTTTATTACGTTCTTTGAATTAGAAGATGTACCAAATGTAGTTCACAGAAGTCGTAATGTTTTATGTAATGTGTATTCAGTGTTCAAAAAGTTATATCAAAACCATAAAAATCAGTTATAATCGCATGGCCATTTACATACGGCCAATATAGTCGTGAATGAAATATGCATAAAGGAAATAGTTGTAAGCCTCTATTGTATCTGAATGTATTGTCACGACGTATTACAAAAATACCAATAGATTTTTTAATATGTACATCTTGATGCATATAGTGCTAGTTGTAATAGGCCATCGTCATAAGACTTCACGAAGACTACTCAGTTGCGCCACCTGGCGATCTAGCCTGGCACTTCCCCACAGTAGCCCTGACCACCCCTCTCTTGTGCAGAAGGGACATGAAGTTATACTCGTTGACAAAAGCGTGCGGACTTTGGCCCTCGCTAAACTTGTCCGGCTGTTGGTCCATGTGATAGTGGAAATGTATAGGTTTGCCTTGCGGGTCCGTCTGTTAAAATAAAGAAGACATATCAAGCTGTTGCTCACAGTTCTGCGATTGAAATGTAATGTACATATTGTATGTATTGCAAACTATTTCATTTGCCAGCATTTCACCATTTACCCATTCCAGAAAATGCCGAAATCTGGCAATCCTCTCATTTTTCTTGCTACGATGGGGAGAGAAGATACAACACATTACATTGCATAACAAAACATTATATAGTCTGTGTAAGTCTCATACAATATAATCTATGTTGATGATATCAGGCAATAAAATTCACAATACCTGCTGAATCTTGCTTGTCTTTCTGGCCCTAATATGTTCTTCAACGTAGTATATACTTCAACTTTGGGGATTTCGCACATTTTTTAGCAATTTTAGTTGAAATTACGAAAATATTATCTCTGTGTAACCCTTGAATTGTGTTGGAATAAAGTTTTACATGTTACTATGTTTAGCAATTTAGAATTTCTAGTGACTCACCATAAATGGATAGAAGCCGTACAGGTTCAGACGGTCACAGAAGGTTAAAGCTAGGAGATACGTCATCAGGCCGACTGTGGGCGAGTCGAAGTCAGGAATGATGCGTTTCATGAATCTGGAATAACATGAAACATCAGACGTCAGGTATAGAGGCCCCGCGGTTTGAAAATAACGGTTTTCATTAGGTCATATTTGGGACCACAGTCATTCGAAAAAAAAAAACAGAGCAAGGCAGATGGCCATGGGGGGGGGGGGAGACAGACAGAGAGAGAGAAAGAGAGACAGAGAGAGAGGTACATACACGAAAACATACCTTTCTCGACAAAGATAAAAAAATGAGTTGGGTCGTGTGACGTAATTATGTCAGAGTGATCGGCTCGGAACCAAGAGGTCCCGAGTTCGAAGCCTGTTATGCCACCGATCTTGTGCACTTTACACGACTTATAATTAACTCAGGGCAGAATACTCATGCCCAAAATGAATATTGTCCTCTGCGTTGATGATGACATAGAAGTAAGTTGAAGACAATGTTGTGTGTGCCGTCACCATGTCTCGTGTTAAATGTAAAAGAAAAGGTAAATATGACTTACTCTCCGGATATATTTTTGAAATTCCGGAGTGAGTACGCCACGGTGATGTTGGCCCGGTGACTCCGGATGTTTTTCCGGAACATTTTCAGCCGTGCGTACGACCCGAGCCCGTACTTCCCTTTCTTTGGCTCGTAACTAAAATTGTAGACAAAGAAATAACGAGTATATACAGTTAAAACAGTCTTCCCTGACGAATCGAGGGACTTGCAAAAAATACATACATGTGGTCCCTATAAACAAGAGATCAATACTATTAGCTATATGGAAAGATTTTCAAGGTGACAACACTAGCCAGTAGGTGGCCCCTATTCAGAGAGAGTATGGGTTCAAATGTATATATATCATATCTTGATAAATTTCAATATATTACTAACACTGAAAATGTCTATACCCCCCACCCTACCCAGACTATGCATGATGTACAAAATGACTAATAAACTGGTAAGTATCTAATGCCAGCTCAGAAAAGAACAAGAAGTAGTCATGCCTTCAAGTACCAGAGTTATCAACCAAGGATTGAGGTTCAAAAAGTCATTCTTTCATAGAACTATCGCAGAGTGGAACTCACTGTCACCAAGTACATTAGATAGTTTTAAACAATGTTTAGAGTTAGATGTTCAAAGGATAGGTGTAACAAGTTGTTCGGTGTAATGTAGCCAGCTGCCGCCGCGCCGCGTGCCTGCGAAGCTGGTGTGTTATGCCGAAGGGCGGTTATACCGGCTATACAGATACAGATACCTACACTACTAGCGCTGTGATCTAAACTGTACTTACAGTGTTTTAGGGTAGAAGAATATAGAGTTGTTGTACGTCGTATATCTCGATGTGATATACTCCGGGTTGACGACTAGCGAGTGGTTGATGAACCGCAGGGCGTAGTTGTCCATGGCGCTTAGGTTGGCTTTGACCCCAACATCAGCCTTAGAAAAATTGAGCCTGATGGTAAGTGCATTAAGGCTAACGATTTTCAGGGGTGCAAGAGTATAGTGCAATTTACGGAATACAGTGCAATTTTACGGAATACAGTGCAATTTTACTAGTATACAGTGCAATTTTACTAGTATACAGTGCAATTTTACGGAATACAGTACAGTACAGTGCAGTGCAATTGTACGGAATGCAGTGCAATTTTACTAGTATACAGTGCAATTTTACTAGTATACAGTGCAATTTTACGGAATACAGTACAGTACAATGCAGTGCAATTGTACGGAATACAGTGCAATTTTACTAGTATACTAGTATACAGTGCAATTTTACGGAATACAGTACAGTAGAAAGCAGTGCAATTGTACGGAATACAGTGCAATTTTACTAATATACTGGTATACAGTGCAATTTTACTAAAGCGTTCTTCTGAAGAACGTACCTCGTATTTCTCTAACGGTGGCATGTTGTATCTGATGACGAAATCATGAGCGTCGATTTCCGCGCCACAATTACTACCAATCAGAATGCCGCTTCCTCCCACAGCAGCGCATGTACTGTAGCGTCTGATTGGTGTTTTCCCCTACATACAAAGAACAGAAAAAAGAAATCATACAGAGAACTTTACTGACACAACCAGAGTATGGAACTTTCATTTTCCCAATGACTCTGTGCATATTCCATCGTTATTTCCCTCAGTCTGCAGGGAGACTATTTTGACTTCCAATTTGACCTTCCTGTCAGTCTGGGGTTACCTAACCCTTTTTGTGTGTGGATCCCCGCAAGAGACATAAATCTAGCTTCATGATCTGACACCTGAGTGATGAAACACTGTACAATCAGTTTTCCAACATTGACTTTGAAAATATAAGTGTCCTCATGCAAGTTTTACTTTGTTCAACTGTATTGTATAAGTTGGATCACTAGGGACCACCAAAGTCTATAAAAAGATAATCCTTACCTACCTACCGACCCTAATTTTTTTCAGGACTGAAACAGGAAACATTTTTTCTTAGCCATAACAAGGAGATGATAAGGAGATACAGACATTCAATTACATTGTGTATACTAGTACTGTTTCGTTGAGTTCTCACCTTACATCCTTCTTGAAAAGTACCATTATCGTAGCATCTGCTGATGTGCTTGTCGTAGTCAGCGAAGAAGACGATATCTTGTGACACATTAAATGTCTCTGCAATCTTCTTCCTGAAAATATGGGTAAGAATATTATCGTAAGTAAAGAAGTACGTGAAAAGCAAGGAAATAGTTAAAAACAAATGCATTTAAGGAAATCATGGTCATCTTACTTGATTTTTGTTGCATCTGTCAACTTCTTCATTTTCCAGGTCGAAAATCCGTATGTCTTTTCCTTTGACTCTTTTTTCTTCTTTTTCTCTTTTTCGTTGGAATGGTTCTGCACTGACTCCGAACTATCAGACTGTCCTGAAACATCCGTTATCTTTGTTTTGTCCTCGTTTTCAAGGTCATTTTCTGAATCCTCTTTCGTCTTAGCTTTGTTTCCGTTTGGTTTTTCCTCAACAGAGTCTTGAAGTGTGTTGCTTGTTTCACTAGAACTACTTTTGGCGTCTTCTTCTAGATCGTTTTGTTTTGTTTCATGTTGTTCTCTATGGTCAAATATGGCTACTTTTGGTTCCAATGATTCCTCTGACTCATCTGTATCAAGCTCCTTGTCCGTATCAACTTCCTTGTCCGTATCAAGCTCATTGTCCGTATCAATCTTATTGTCCGTATCAATCTCATTGTCCGTATCAAACTCCTCTGAAGAGTTTTCAGTCATATCTTCTTCCCCTGTGTGTAATAAACGTCCGCCATCTTTTGGAACCTGATCTCGCGGAGTCTCGCTCCGTCCCGCGAGACTTCTCGGGGCACTCTGAGGTACGGACACTTTGCCCTTAAATGTTGCAACATGCATTGTAGTGACTTCTCTGAAAGTAGTAAAAACATAAACGTCTTGATTGTACATCAAAGTAAGATTTTCCTTCCTTGTCATATATGTAATTCTATATATATGTAAGGCATATAAAGATATTACATGTATATAGTTTCTACCTCGATTTGAAGGTGAACATTCACTCAATTTTCTAAAACCTGTACATGCATTTTCCCACAGACTTCCATACAAGCAAACGTGAACACAGTCACACAGACACACAGAAGACAATACCTCCGTACGCAGGTAACAATCCAGAATAGCTTCTTGAATTATGCAGTTATACAATAAAGCAAAATTAATACAAAGACATAAATTAAACATCTTTGCTAAAGCAAACCAAACTACAATGTGTGAAGTTTGATCTTTAAATTGTAGCTTGCGTTAAGTGTCTGCTTCTTCAATGGAGTCAATGGTTCATCGAACATTTACGTATATAGGTATACGTATGCTTAAAGTTGATATGTTTTTGCAGTGTTACCGTGAAAAAGCAGCGCTCATGAGCCCGGAGAGGTAGCTGGCGGTGACGACGATCAGAACGAGAAACACGTTCTTCATGTGGCCGCGGTGGTTCATCAAGTTCATGGTCGGGTCAGGATGGGGTCTGTGCATGCTGGAAGGAAAATGGTATTTTAGTACCGACTCTGGTCTTGGTAAGAATACACTTAGTAGCCGGGACACCATCCTCCTACAGCCTACGAGCAACCACTATCCACCACCCACCCCTGACATAGCCCTCCCCCCACATACAACTCTACCGGCTGCGTAGAAGCAAACGCTATCCGCTAGAAAGTTTGCACAGGAGGCTCCCATCCTCTGGAGTTACTGCGCGGCTCTCTCTTTTCGTGTCACGAACAGCAAGCTAATAGAGATCTGGGGGTATATTACTACTGAGGGTGGCACCCAGGCTACTACACTAGAGCCCCGTTGCTTCGCATACAGTGTCCATCTCCTGTAGAGTCCACGGTGCCCCGTTACATTCAGCACCACATGGCAATCGCTTCATCATTGTACATATAAGCTCCTGGCAATTCAGCCCCTTGCTGCAGAGATAGCATAACAGAATAACTGCAGAATAACTGGCCCATCCAAGAACAATACAATAACAAAAATAACGACTGTACTATTTATTGTCCGGTATCGTCACTACATCGTCTCAGATTGGCACAAATGTCCAGTCTCCGTAATCTTGTCCCGTCTTGCTATCGTGCCGTCTATAGTGTCCCGTCTCGGTACTGTCTCGGTACTGTCCCGTCTTAGTGGGGTATACTGTACTATTATCCGACCTTGGTATTCTTCTTTTTTTTCGTCTTGGTGCTGTAAGATATGTAATATTATAGCAATTTTCAATACGGGGGTCTGCCTACGTGCTGCAAGTAGTTTATAAATATTTTATAAGCCATGTAATCATTTGTTTACAGTAACGTTACAGATCCAGAATTTTCTCTTTTAATGTCTCCCTTTTGATACAACATTTTACATAACAATCAAAATAGAACCTTCTATGATAAATGAGCTGGAAAAATTACATGATTTTAAAAGGATACAAATATTTACTAAACCATACCCGAAGGCTACTTGCAACACATAACGTAGTCTTTAAATCTACTGTATATATGTATATGTTTTTGTGACACAATTTGTGTGTAAGGATATACGTCTATGAATTTGTCACGAATATAATTACGTTGTTTGATTTTTCTAGGACTTCAATCTTAAAACCTGTATCATTTTCTGACCCTGGCCTCTTTCCTCACGACCTCTCAAAACTATCCTCTACCAGGCTTGGGGAGGCGGCTGGAAAGAGTAGAAATCGGCCAATTAGAGAGATAAGCATGCCAAGGGAGTTTGTCCGTTGAGAGAGCATTTCGCCGCGCCATGCCTGGTAGAGGCTATCTCAAAACAGCAGTCAGCAGGCCGATGTGAGCATTTCATGAAAATAAAACTTCAAACAAACAAATCGTTTATAGATATAGAAATGTGGAAATGAGTAACGTACCTGAGTCCAGAACTGCTAATGTACGTCAATCGTTTGCAAGATTTGCCAGATAGTGCATGAGGGGTCAATTAGTGGGTGACGGAAGGGTACTGTGTAATTGGAATGACCTCGCCTAGGGCGAGAAATCTTTTGTGGTCTAAGATTGTTGAAAAATAACAACATGGCTAAAACAAATTGTCATTCCTAAAGCAGACTAGGTCTATTTAGCCCCCACACACTCCTCAAAACGTCTTGTTTCAAAACAAGACAAACGACTATGGTTATCAAAGCCTTTGCGATCGTATATTTTTACGTTACAAGATCAAAACATGGGTTTGTTGTAAATGACCGTAGGTAACGTCAAATGGAGTAAGCGTTCAGTTCTAATTATCCAGATCGAAAATAGTACGAGTTGTAAACATAGGTGGGGACTTCGGAGCCCAAATTTGACCACCGTGTGTATGATCAAAAAATGGCATATAAGGACACTACATGAACGTTGTAGACAGTTGCACTACAAAACAACTGCTTAAAAACTGGCAGATTTCCAGATGACGTCCGTCTATTTATAATCCATGGCGCATGATATACGTTGCAAAAGGGCAACCTTTCTGTAACCTATTACCTTGTGACTTGTTTTGATAGCCATTACTCTCAAACCTGGTAGACACACACACACACACACACACACACACACACACATACCGTCTTGTCTGCTAGAAATGTGATTTTTTTAGGTAGAATTCGTATGTTTCACACTAGCTGAAACTGGAACGTAACGTGGATATATATGGATATGGATGTATATACTGACCCTGCTTCTGGACCAAGAGGTCATGAGTTCAAATCCCAGCTCTCTGTCTCTCACCTCAGTTACACGCTACTGAAAAGAGTCGTAGTCCTTAGAACCAGACGTTAAGCCGTGGTACACTGTTCACTGTGTACTTGTCAAAAAGAGCAAGACGAATTTCCCGGTTCAATGCACCTGCCAATAATGTACATGACAATCGTCTGTCTTTGTTACGACTTTGTCACGATTTTAGACACAATACATTGGGTGGGTGAGGTGGGGGCAAAACATAGGTGTAGGTATTTGTTATCGACACTGACTTTTTAGCCACAGGAAAGGAAGATTTCCACATGAAAACACCGTAATATTACAAGATTCTTATTCACAAAATACTCAAGAACAGTTCAAAATCAGGGCAAGAACAGAACTTAACAAGAACAACGGAGAAAGACGTAAACAACAACAGAAAAATATACTTACGCGTTCACCTGGTCAGGAGGAAGCAAAATGCTCAACAGGACGAACCTAATTCGGGTTCCAGTTGTTGACTAAACTAAAAACACTCCTCACATGTGGCCTTTCGTGACTGATTTTCGATCAGATAATGTTCAAGTCTCGTAAAACACAAGCCATGGGTCATTGACAGACCCATAAACACGTACACCTTTGGTGAATTAGCTAGTGAACAAAATGACAAGTATTAATAGGACAGGGTTGCCCCCCTCCCCACACGTTCCCACGGTTGACGTTTGCTCCAAGCGCCTGTAATATACAACTCTATCAGAGTCCTGGGTGTTGTCCAAAATTCTCGCGTATCTTCAGTACTAGATCCAAAGGAATCTGTCAAATTTCAGGCATACAAAGAGCTAAAATATCTGTCTTGGCTATATGATGAGATAATGATAATACAGTATTGTCATGTGGTGCACGTACTAGTTAGTTCGGCTCATTAGGCCATAGCAAGGAGATTTTATGTATGGCCTCCACGCGCGCATTGATTTTTGTCTGATTTCGCGAAAAACAGAAAAAAATGGGACAATATGCCGCAAAGTTCTATCTACTGTATACTGTAGTTGTATACTTGAAGGCTGGTAGGCTTGAATGTAGGGATACTAGGCTACCACTTTATTGTCCCTTTCTGCACTTCCAGGAAAAATAGATTTTTTGGATGTGGAAACATGCATTGTTGCTTTAACTCTTGTTTCAAACGTTTAAATGTCTCTTTTAAAAAAATCCATTTAACTTTTTTGTCCATCTTGTTTTGGCTCTTTTGTATTAGATTTCTAATTCGGCAGAGGATGTCATCCATAAAATGTACTTGCTGTGGCCTTACTTAGGACTCAGTCATACAGGTCTTTTAGCCCCCGGTGAAACTTTTGCTGTCGAGTCACGCCTGGAAGTCATCCCCATTGACATAATATAACATATAAGATTATTTGAAAAAATCATTTGCACATTCACATTGCCAAGGTGAACAACTACATGTATGAGTACGACAAACTCATTTGCCACTCAACTGACATCTAGTTTCATAGCCACTTGTAATATGAATATCAAATCAATAATCTGAATGAAAGACAAAAAGAGATCTATTGCATCAAACCTTTAATAATAAAGTTGCCCATATAAGAATTCATCATATTGCAAAGCAGTCTTAATTTTCATACAATGTAGACCTAATAGTTATTCAAACTGTACACTGACCCAATAATATAAAGTATGTGGAAAATGTTGCTTATCTGTTCATATCTTCCCGCATAGCCTTACATGCTCAATTAGGTAGGCCAAACGTTAATCATGGACCACATGTATCATTACTCTTCAACTTGTACAAATGTCACAAGGCATGGCTCCTTTTTGATTTGATCTGAGATCTTTGATTTCGTGTTTTTTTTTAACTTTTATTTCTTAGATCACCACGTCAATAACAGGTGGTCACACCTAGAAAAATTATATCTACTATTTACAGTAGCAACAAGTCCCACATTGTCATTGTTTTATTTCACTGTATTTTTATTAATTACAATAAGTCTTCGAGCAATAAGCACATCCGCTTATAATTTGTAGACTGAGATAATATATTTCCATGAAAGTTCATCTGTGTTGGTAGTAATTATACTAAAATGTTGAACTTTATTCCAACACAAGAATTACACAGAGATCAAATTTTAACGACCACTGCCACCTTCATCAAGATGACCAATCACATCACGCGTCCCTAAAGTCTCGTGTGAATAAGGTCACGTGTCAGCGTAACTCTCGCGAGATTACGTTTTTAAGTGATTGGTCATTAATCATCCTGATGAAGGCGACAGTGGTCGTTGAAAATTTGATCCCTGTGTAGTCCTTGTATTGGAATAAAGTTCAACATTTTACTATGAGATAATGTGTTCTTGTTTGTTGTTTTTTTCCAAGATGGCGGCAGAACGGTTACTGTGCCGGGGGCGGCGGTAGCTTGGTTTTCTGCCCCAGTCCTTGACACTTCCCGACGGTTACCCGGATGACGTCCTTGGAGTTCATGTAGGTCATGAGGTTGTACTCGGAGTGGTAGAGGTGTGGAGCCTTACCGGCAGAAAACTCCTTGGGCATCGGGGCGCCGTGGTAGTGGAAGGGGACTGGGTTTCCGTTCTGGTCCGTCTGAAACGAAATGTGCAGTTACGATAATGAGACAATAAAACTAGAAAGATAACATTTGCAAAGCAAATGCATAACGTTTAACTTCACCTGGTCTAGCCCAACAAACTACTACACTGTTTATTCTTACTCAAAGACAAATACACTCATATGTATACAACTCCACATGGTGTCTGTGCTACAGCACCAGTTACCATAGTGACAGACGTCTGGTTCAGGTCATTGACCTCATGTGTTTGGAGAAGAAGAAACTGTGAGCAAAAACAATGTTTTCCTTCTGCGAAGGTACTAAACATTATAACAATAATGATAATAATGATAATGTTATGGCCATTGCAACTTCCATTACCCATTACAAAGGGTACAGAGTGTACCCCCAGCCTGCGAGGAGACCGCCATTTTGTATTTAAATTCAGTAAAGTTGCAGGAAGTGAGGCGGAAAACAGTGTAACCGCAGACTGACAGGAAAATCAAATTGGAGGTTAAAATGGTCTCCCACAGGCTAGAAAAATGTGATAGCACTGAATGATAAGAAATTCACAATAATGAATTAACTTTCATACCAGGAAGGGATAGAACCCGTAGATGTCCACCTCGTCACAGAATGTGATGGCCATCAGGTAACTCAGCAAGCCTATCGTGGGCGATTCGAACCCTGGAAACACCATGTTCAACATCCTGGGAGTACCAGAAAATTAGAAAAATATGTTAAAATTAATAGCTTTCTCCTTCATTTTTCCTCAATAAACCTCAATAAACCTCATTTTCTATGAAATAAAGACTGAGCTTTAAATTCCAACACTAGATACAGTGACAGTGTTGGAAGTTAAAGCTCAGTCTTTATTTCATAATGATTTGTACCAACACAGATGAACTTTCATGCTAAATCTCATTTTCTGTTACATAAGTGAGTAACTCCATATTAAATGTTAACATTGCAAGGTCTTTTACAATGACAATGAGTAATATTATGCTTTATGGACAAAATCAATCTTTTTTTTAACTTAAAAAGTAACAAGGTTAAAAAAGTCTCGGTGAAACAACTTACTTCTCTGTCATGTTTTTGAAGTCCTTCATCGCATATGTCAGTGTGATGTTGAATTTCGCCTTCTTTAGGAAACTGTCCACCCTTTTATACCTAATAAGTAACATCAAGTTCAATGTCACTTTAAAATGATCTTGATATTCATTGTACACTGCACAAAAAGCGAAATCCCCAGTTTCTTATACATGTATTTTCATATGAAATTCCTGTCAATCAAGTGAAACCCAATTTCGGCCCACTCACTTTGGAACTCAAACATACAAACCTAGCATAAATTAGCGCCGCCCAAAACAATACTGTCTTACCTTTCGTATGAACCAAGGCCATGTTTCCCCTTCTTCGGTTCATATATCGTCTTGGAGTAGAAGAGAAGGGAGTTGTTAAACTGTAGGAAGTGTTCTGTTAAGACATCTGGTTCTAATACCATCTTCTCGTCAACGGTTCTCAGCGCAAAGTTGTCTAATACCGTCATATTCACCTTTATTCCAACGTCTTCCTAAAAATAACAATAACAATATATTCTGATATAAGATATAAAAACATATCTTTTGCTAAATAAGAATATCTTTGGAAAAATGTACTATAACTAGAGAGGCCGACATTTGCTTGGGAGCAAATACAGCATATTTCAGTCCATCTCCCTCCCACGCAAAAGTGGACTATTCCAAACTTACCCCAGTGTAAAACTGGCAAAGGTTCTCAAATAAATGATTTAAATAGTAGCTATATGAGAACAAAGATGCAACAACAAGTACTTTGAATCTCGAAAGCTTTACTAATCTTATTACAGGTATGCAAAAACTAACAATGATGAGATTTGATACATTTTGAAGGTCTTAGGCACATAAAATTGAATGTGTGGGTCATTACGCACCACTTAGGTGCAATGTGACCTCAGGTAACCCGCAATGGAACACGTGTTCCATGGATGGAACCGGCCATTCTTTAGATAGAACATGGAACGGGTACAGCACTTTTGGCCCTTTTTTTGCTGAAAATAGCCATTAAAGTCCCCCAAATGAGTCATTTGGAAGTGTTGTATGCCAAATACATGACTGCTATTCTGTAGACACATGTTCAAGGTACCCTTATACCGAATTTCATATCATTTGGTTGTAAAACCAGGGCTCAGGATCCAAAAATCCATTTTTTGGCAAAAAATGCCCCAAAAAACCTTCATAAAAATTTTTCAAAGGCATGTATCAAAAAAATGAAAAAAACGTCTGGGGGTATTCGCCCACTCTACCTTCATGCCAAATTTCAAGTCATTTGGCTGAATGATAGTGGAGTTGAATCCCTTTGACTGTTTGGCAGGAGGAGAAGAAGAAGAAGAAGAAGAAGAAGAAACATCAGAGAACACAATATATTTCATCCATACCATGGTATGGACTGAAATATAAATACATCACTGTATTGCCATTGCTACCTTGTATGAGCGTGTGTGAAGGGGAGATGATATAACCGCAGACTGAAAGGAAGTTGAAATTGACATTGTATGGACGTATATGTTTGGGGATGATATAACTTCAAACCTGACAGAAAGTCTGAACAGAACAGGATCCATATCTACCTTGTATGAACGTATGTGTGTGTGTGTGGTGGGGGGGGGTTGTAACCGCAGACTGACAGGAAGTCTGAATAGGATCTACCTTGTATGACCATATGTGAGGCAGGTTGAATCTTATGACGAAATCGTGAGCGTCAATTTCAGGTCCACATTTACTGCCAGTGAGAATGCCGCTTCCGCCGACCACCGCACACGAGGCGTAGTGCTTCACTGGTGACGTAGAATGGCACCCTGAAATATTTCATCATACAAAACAAAGAATCAGTGATAGCTTTTGCTAATAAATTGCATCGAATGCATCATTACTGAAATTGCGACTGTATGATGAAAGTTACTCCGTTATTACACCATATCTTACACGAAGGGTGTGCCGGGTCAAATTCCTGTCAATCATGTGAAACCCAATTTCGGCCCACTCACTTTGGAACTCAAACATACAAACCTAGCATGAATTAGCACCACCCAAAACAATACTTCCGTATCGAAGTGAAAGTGAATACATACCCTGTTTAAACTGCCCATCCATAAAACAATTGTCCACGTCGTCATCGAAGCCTGAGAAGAACACGACGTCCTGCGTCACGTGAAGTATTCTGTTCATGACGGTTCTGGAAAAAAATTTATAATTTTTTTTTTTGGTAAAATCAATTTTTGCTAAAAAATCTATTTTTAGCAGTCTGCTTATGTATGATAAACTGTTCTATGACTAAAAGAACTACCGAAATTTTCGACTTCACTTGTGGGTACGTTTATTGACGTGTTACATCAGCAATGGGTCAAAGTTTGTTAGAAGTCGATATCGCCCCCCGTCCCGCCATTGGTCAAAATACTCAAAATACGCTTACCTGATTTTCTTGGCGCTTTTGAAGTACTTAGCTCTGTACTCTTCATTAAAATCAAGATTTCTTAGATCCGTATTTTTTTCGCCAAATTTCTTCTGTTTCTTCACCGGAGGAGCGTGCTGAAGGATTTCATTGATGTCTTTTGCTTCGGCGTCTTCATTTCTGTCTGCCTTTTCCTCGTTATTTTCTGTATCAGAGTTTTCTTCTTGTGGTTTTTCGTCTTCTCCTGATTTTTCGTCTTTTCTTGATTTTTCGTCTTCACCTGAATTTTCTTCTTCTACTTGTTTTTCGTCTTCTCCTGATTTTTCGTCTTCTACTGGTTTTTCGTCTTCTCCTGATTTTTCGTCTTCTACTGGTTTTTCGTCTTCTCCTGATTTTTCGTCTTCTGCTTTCTCCTCGTCGACAGGAGGACTGTTTTTGCCGGGAGGTTCTACCACGGGTGCCTGCGGGGGAACGGCCGGTGCATCGTGCCTGCTGTCCCGCTGGTCTCCGTGTGATGTGTCGCTGACTGGACCGGGCACGGCCTCCCGTTTCTTCTCCAGGTGTACGCGTGGTACTGGCTCTTCCCACCAGGCTTTGGGTGCCGTGTCGATCTCTCTAAACAATGATGGGTGAATCGGAGATGTGGTCAACAATGTTTGTAGGTATGTTTGGGGGTGGGGTGTTTTGTTCTGTAGCTTGTAAGTATGCAGCAAGCATGGATTTAATCTACATTAAACGAAACACACACACAGTCATTGACACACACATAGTCAAACACTGACACACGATTAATAATACACACACACACACACACACACACAAATACACACACAAATACACACACACACACATATTTATACACATTAACACACAAACACATACACAAACGCACACCCATGTTATTGTTAAACCTTGTACACACGTACACGTACACACACGCGCACGCACACAGACACACACACACACACACACACACACACACACACACATACACACAATAAACACACACACAAACACGTACACACGTACATGTCAACGTCCTGATATTGATACAGTTAGTTGTCAATTGTGACCTGGCCTACAGTTTAAACAGCCTGTTGTTCCAGGTGTACAAACCAATTTGGGACAGTATGTTCACTCAAGTATGATATAGCTTTTACAGTTTACAAAGATATCTAAAGCTCGCTTTGCTTAAACAACCCTCACCTGCTCAGGTGTAGAGCACTCATGAGCCCACACAGGTAACTAGCAGTGACAAGGATCAACACCAGGAATATATTTTGAACGAAGTTGTTTTGAGTTGCCATCTTGACTAATTAGTATCCACCTCTGCCCCCTGACCTTGTAATGATAGCCTCTATCAGGCTTCTGAAGCGGCTGTTAAGAGTTGATGGGCCAAATAGACAGATGACATGCCAGTGAATCTGGGCCCCTATAGGAGTACAGTTTGCTGTTCAGAGCGGACTAACTCCCCTGGCATGTTATCTGTCTATATGATATGTATATATTATTTCTGCACTTTCCAGTCGCTTCTGAAGACTGATATAGGCCATTGTACGTAGTGACGAAATATGATAGCGAACTCCAGATAGGCAAGGGCCTACAAATTTGCATCAAAAAGTTGTCATCTCCAGCAAAAACTCAGTCATAGCAATAAGAGAGAGTTTATTTTTGACATGTCCAATGCCATGGGCTGTCAACAGCCTGATATTTTTTTGTAATCTCCTGGTTTCTATACTCAATTTTGAGACAGTCCTGATCGAGCTCTGTTACAAAGTTAACTGGTGATTGTGGTTTGAATATATGATCGCCTTTGCATTTATTGCTTGTGCCAAAGGATATCACAAAAGATGGCCTTGTTCACAGTTTACCTGTTCGTCAGGCTTTATGAAGTAAGGGATAATATGTTTACACATTATGACATACGTTTTCCATTTTACCAATCTTTCAATCTTTATTCGCTTGAAGCAACGTAGCAGACATACAGATGCATTGACAATGCATTATGTCTGCTACATTACATATACTCCTGAATTGTGGTAAGTTTCAAACCATGCAGATCTAACGTTAGAGATGAGTGCAAGCACGTAAACAAAAGCTGGGGACAAATACTTAACACTATGGCTTAGTGCCATCTTCAAGCTTTTCTGTTGCTTGTTTCGCAAAAAAAAATCTTACCTGCCGAGAAGAGCACTCATCAGTCCACACAAGAAGCTCCCAGTGACAAGAATCAAGACTAGGAAGATGTTTTGGGCGAGATTCGCCATCTTGAATAGTCAACAATCTACAAATACCTCGACCCATAAACATCAGATTGACCTTGGCGACGAAATGACCTTTTAGATTCCGTGCAGTTCAATTATAACGTAGATGGTTATCTACAATTGTGATCATAGTTTTGGAACCACCAACCATAACGCATCTGTATATACGCAAGAACTTTGAGTGTTAAAATGTCATAAAGTTTGAGAAAAACTTAATTTAAAATTGGCGGTAGTATACTAGACCATGATGATTTGAACGTTAATATAAATTTGGCACACACACACACACACACACACACACACACACACACACACACACACACACACACACACACATAATATTATATATGTACATACACGTGTACACCTCAATAAGAGAATAAGACTGTTACTACAATACTATTGTTTTAACAAGTGTATATAAGCCAGAAAGAAGCAATAATATATATAATTTATTCACCTATGGTTTAAACTATATCTATCAGAGCAACAGTATGATAGCAGATTATTGAAGTCAATGTGCACACGTGTATGTGCATGTGTTTGTGTATATAAAAACCCAACACACTCATCGTGAAGAGTAGGGGACGGGTGAAAAGGCTCATGACTTTTTGCCCTCCCTCAAAAACCAATGAATTCAAATGAATGAACTTTATTGCTCGGCAATCGTACATGTTACAATGTACAGGTATCAAGCAACACTACGGAGCTCATCTAACCTATTTTACCAATCACAAAATATAAAGATCTCACCTGCTTAGTAGAGCACTCATGAGTCCACACAGGTAACTACCAGTGACAAGAGTCAACACAAGGAAGATGTTCTGAATAGATTTAGTTCGAAGCGCCATCTTGGATAATCTCATGATCAGTGTCCCTTTCATAAAGCTTGACCTTGTAGCGATAGATGGCGATTACGGTGAGATTTTCGGCCTCCTTCTGTGTAAGTAAGTCAGGAAAGTGCTGAATTTGTGTCAAAATATATTCTCTATGATACTTAAACTGGATGTATGGGTCACAGGCAAGAGCTAGTTTCGAGAGCAGTTATTTCGGGACGTACCAGAATTGGCGCCTAGTCGGGCAAATTTAAAACATAGTTTGAGGGTAAAGACAGAAAATATTGAGACATACTTTCATTGACCCTCTTATAATTATAATATCTGGTCTCTGTTTGAGGACTGCTATGCTATATTTGCCCACTTGTTAACACACTCTAGGTCATTTTACAAACTTCCAATATTCTTAGACTAATAATCCTTTGATTACTACTTCGTGCATTGTACTGCAAAGGACATCAAAAATAGGAAACGAGACAATAATTTTTAATTGTTGTTTAGACGCCAATTGGTACGAGTATTCTTGAATCTGGCGTGTCACTACACTGTGATTTTTCATAGAAGAATTTAAATAGCCATGTATCTAAAATCGTACTCTATGATCGAACGAATTTCCTAATATAGTGAGATATACAAGTACAACATGGACCACCTGTTAGATTCCAACTTCCAACCATACGACACAAGCAAGTACACTGATATACATAGTATGTACCTGATATGATATCTTCAACCTTTCAAATGTCAACATAACCTTTGACCTAACAGCGCCGCCATCTTTGTTGACATCTTCCACCTGAACAACTCTGTAACAGTTGAAAAACCTGTTGACTGTAACCTTTGACCTAAAAGGAACCGCCATCTTGTTTGGAGGTCAAACCTTGCCACAGGCAACCGTATGACCTTTAAATGTTAACGTCTCCAGAGAAGTTGCAAAACCTGTTGAATGTAACCTCTGACCTAAAATGGTCGCCATCTTGTTTCAGGTCAAAATATGCTTCCTCTAATTAGTAGAAGGCACGTGTGCCCTGTCCCCTAATCTGAAGGTGTGCCATCTTTTGTTCAAGGCCTACAGAAAAGCTACAAAACCTGTCTACCACATCTTTTGACTTAAAGGCTGTGTAATGCTTGATTTTGTTAATCAATGCTCCTGATATAAATCTTCACATGTCCTTAGAAACGAAGTTCAAGAAGTTAAAACTGATGAAACCTCACAGAAGGGGATTCTGGAATATTTATTTCACTGTGTTCGTCTTTGATATAGAAGAATAGTAGCAGATGCAGGCAGTGTATACGCTGTATACTTACTTCGTATACTATTACACGTACATGACTTGGTTTAGCATTATAAATTAGCTTCCATCTACCAAGTGAAGACCACGTTTCCCTTTCCAGCTTAAATCTCCTATAGCAAACTTATCATACAATTGTGATTTGAAAATCATAGCTTTCTTGAACCTACAAGTTGAGTACAACTCGAGATTATGATACAATCAAAGCAGGTATCTACTATTTACTGTTTTTACTTTTACATGCATCAATATAGAACTTCAGGGCGCCCTTGGACTCTAACTCTCTCATGTAGCTCCACTCTTGCTCTAGCGCTTTCTCGTCGAATCCATCTCCTCCTAGTTCAGGGTCGGTATGGTAGTGTTGGGATACTGCCTTGTCCTTCGTAAAAAAGGGAAAAAATGACTAGTTATTTGACACAATGGCTTCCAAAAATATACACAAAAACTACAGTACTATACTACTATTACTACTACTACTACTATACTACTATTACTACTACTACTACTACTACTACTACTACTACTACTATACTACTATTACTACTACTACTACTACTACTACTACTACTACTACTACTACTACATAATGTACTACTACTACTACTACATTTACTTATACATCTTCTACTAAAAAGTCCTAAAAGTCTTTTCATTTGACCTTTCGACCAAAAATCCAGCTCACAAAGTATGTCTTAGTACTGTAACTACTACTACTACTACTACTACTACTACTACTACTACTACTACTACTACTACTACTACTACTTCTACTACTACTAAAGTTATTAAAAGCATTTTCATTGGAAACCAACCGAAACTCCAGGCCAAAAAAATGATTTCTTCACTGATCCAGGCCGGCCAGCCGGTCAGCGAAGAAATCAATTTTTCGTGAAGTGCCATAGTAGTACCTGGTATTGCTTGAAGGGGAAGAACCCGTAGAGATCCACTTCATCACAGAAGGTCAGCGCCAGGGAATACGCGATGGCACCGTTGCTCGGATTTTCCGGGAAACGTTCAACTAAGCTTCTCCCCAGCCTGAAGGTAACCACGAGAAAGAAAAAATTAAATGTATAATTATCATAATATCAAGTAGGAAATCAAATAATTATAAAAACTCACATAACTGTACGAAAACTTTTAAATCACTTTTTAAACACTTAAAAAGTGTTGTCACTTTACCTACGTTTGTGTAGATCAGTAATATAGGTAAAGTAAAAACTGTTGAAAAAAATTCCCTTTAAAATAGAATGTTTTTGTCAGATATCGTTGTTTGGTGCTATTGACCCATGCATACGTATTGCGCTTGTTTTGCTACACTTACTCTCTAATTCTTTCTGGAGCACTGGACATGGAATAGAGGAAGTTCACGACGTTTTTGTGTGCGCTGACATATTTCTTGACGTAAGTAATCTTCTTATAAGGTCTGCGGGCTGTTTGGGACTCCAATTCCACCAAGGCTTCGGGATGGTAGAGGTACGCTTTGTCAAGATCATCCACCCGTTTTAACACAAAGCATTCCTGTTTGTCTTTAATACATTTGTAGATAACACTCAAGACGTGGCGCCCGACAACCATAAGATTTGTCTTCTCGCCAACGTCTTTTTCGTAATCTTTCAGATTAGGAAAGTTAATCCGGATGACGAAGTCGTGATCGTCAATGGCTTTACCGCAGCCGGATTTGGAGAGAATACCGCTGTTGCCCACGACTGCGCATGTCCGTTGCCGTTTGATGGCATTGTCGCGATTGCAGCCATCGATGTACTGAGTACCGTTAAAACATCTTTTAATGTCCTTCTCAAAGTAATTAAAGTCCACGAGGTCCAGTCCGGATGGCATCTTTGAGGATATCAAAGATCTGTGGAAGAAATAGCAGATTTTCAGTTGACTTGGATAGTGTTCTGTGATGTTGAAATAGACTCTAAAATCCAACATGGCGGCGCCCATAGATGACAGTGAAATCAAAACAGGTTCTCTACTATACTATTGTGAACCTGTAATTTATCATGGGTAAATTATGCCTAAAAAGCTAAAATTTAAAGTTACGTGTTACACTATCGTTTAAAAGGCATACTACTGTAAGCAAACTGGTACTGTAACAACCCAAGGACATCCTTGTTTGTTTGTTTGTTTACTATGATCACCTTGATAAAGTGACACCTCATGTGTAAACTCACCTGAGATCATCATCATTGGTATTGCTGCTAAATGGCTCATCTTCCTTTTTCGCTTTCTTCTTATCTTCCTTTTTCTTTTCGGATTTTTCTTCCTCATCGTGACTAGAAGCATCCTCTTCCTCACTTTTGTCCTTTTCGTGAGCGTCTCCTCTGATATCATAGTCTACGTTTCCACCTTCTTCCTCTGGCTCTTCTTCTTCATCATTTCTCTTTCTCTCCTTCCCTCCTTCATTGCTATCGCTATCTCCTCCGCCAAAAGACTCTCTCATCTCTTCTGAGGTCGGAGGTCCCTTCCCCCATTCAAACTCCACTCCATTTGAGGGTGCCCCGAGTCTGTCATTTTCTAACGGTGCATCGTTGGCCCTCTGTAAGTAAAATACATATCATTATTATAACATTATATTTATTATAATAATAAGTTTATAACATTAAACATTCTATAAATTCATTTGTAAACTCGTGCTCGAAAGGTATTTGCAAGCAAACACCAATATGTAGATAGGTGGAAATATCTATTATTTGTCATTCTTTGGTATATCAACAACTGATGTTGTAGATTATCTTAAATTAGCTCAAAATAATGAATTATTCGCATGTGAATTGAACAATGACAGACGTAGTATAAGGTTAAGCATTATCATGAAAGTATAAAATGCTGTTGACTTTTAGCATCATGAGCCTATGTTTTCTTTGCTCTTTATGATTTTGTATGCTTTTATATACGAAAAGAAGAATGATTGACTCTTAGTGAAAAGGAAATCAACGAGCATTTCTTGGTTACTCTAATGAATTAGTTCTCACCCGAACTAACTTCACCTCTCCGACCTGTGGCACTTCTGGTGGTCTCTCCAATTTTTGCGGGCTCGCTGTGTAGATTGGGACCGGGGGCCTGTGGAAATCATCACATTCATATGAAGAAATTAATAATACCATATGATGCCAAAGGGGACCTCCAAAACCTGAGAGAAATACATTAATTAATTTTCCCTAGTTTGTGTGAGTTTTTTGTGCATATACAGAATAAGCAACAGTTTTTTTAAATTATAAATAAACACGAAATTTGCGACTATTTATGGAGGTATGAGATCCTCGACTTCTTGTTACTTACGCAGACCGAAGTGTGGTTATCAGTCCCATAAAATAGCTCCCAGACAAAGCCACGAAAAACAGGAATGCGTATTGTATCCGATGCACATCCATCCGAAATATAGCACTCCTAGAAAGAATTATAATATCATCATCATAGTTATAAGTTTTAATATTTATGCTAAGCAATTGATAGAATACTTTCAAATTGATATTGCAAATGTACAATTGCTTGTAACTTCAACGAAGCAAACTAGAATTATATTATAAAATCAATTTAATATCGCCATAGATTCATGTACACATACACTATATTTATTACTTTTAAGGAATACAAATTGTTATAACAGTTGAAAGCAATTCAATACGAAAAAAAAATTAAAAATATTCTAAATGTGAAAGTTTATACAGAGTTCACCGTGATTGTATACTAGTATCCCCGGGTTATATAGGGTGTGGAAAAAATTTACTAACCTGTTCTTGCGTAAGGGCGAAGTTTTTGCGGCCAAGACCAAGTCAATTTTCATAATCCTTACAATACACTTAAAATCTTAGAACCACCTTCTTCTGACGTATCGACCAACTCGCTATCTTAAGAAATGACAAGAACATGCTTTGATAAATCATCTTACATGTGGACAGCACAACATAGTGTACAAGATCTTAGTGTAGATACTAGATAGCCTTGAAAGACCGCACGCAAACGACATTTTGTTCATCTGATTGTTTAGATACTAACATTAATTAGTTTTGCTACGTTCTGAGACAAATGCAAATGAGATATCTCTTTGCATGATATTTATTTTCTTATAAGTAAAAGCCATACGTCGACAGTATTTATTAGTTTGTTTGCTTTTATATTTTTATCGTTTGGTTGCCGTCATGAAGGTGACGTGACCTTTTTTGACCCCACGTGTGTCATACACCCCCGGGCTCTGACGTCATCACAAAGCGCCATTGTCGTCTGAAAAGTCGTCTGCAAAAAAATCGTCTGCAAAAAAAACGCCCTCACGGACCATGACGTCACTTGGCAACATATTATGGTCCTTTTTTTGCGAAATTTGATCTTATGGTCTTTTTTTGCGGACATGGCAACTTTAGATAGCTCTTTTCTGTCAAATTTTGACTGAGAAAACCTACACCATACCAACTCTCGACAGCACAATTGTTTTTGATTGACAGCCAAGTAACTTCTATAACTTTCGACCCTGACATCACTGATACGCATTGTGAATTTATCTAAAATTCCTATCATGACAATGCGTATACGCTGACGACGTTTCTTACAAACGTATATTCTCACATATTCATATTGTCTTCTTGGTACGGATAGTGCAATGTACGGTCAACATTTTCCACCTCATTGCCAAATTTCTTTTCACCAAATTTCTCCCAAAGACTTGTGTGACTGTTCCCAGGACACACGCGATTAACTTCCAGCGATTAAGACATTCCCGCATAATTGTGTATAGCCTTCGGCATTGCAAACAAGCCAGAGTTAAGAACGGGTCATTTAATCCGTGACCTCTGTGTCTTTAGCTATAAACTGGTCTAACCGGTCCATGATACGACAATACAATTGTACACTTATGTTGTCAAGGCGTCTGTAAAGATCCAGGAATACCGCTAGATGTCGCTTTTGACCATTGCTGTGTGCATTGCAGTGTACGAGATAGAATAGAGGGGGGCGTAGCAATTTACAAACCATAAGGCCATGTTGATTTGATTATATGGATGGCATCCGCGCGCGCATGAATTTTCGGCCGTTTACAAAAAAAAAAGTTTTCAACCATACTGTAAATCGTACAAAACAGTTGCAAAATGAGCAAAAATATACCATAAGTTACAAAAAAAATTAATAAAAACTATACCAATGTCGTAGAATTCCAAAATCAAACGAAAAAAGACGAAATTGTAAAGAAATTAATTTGAAGACTAGATTATTCGCCAAACCATATTCTGTGCCATTTGCTCAACCCTCATGACCACGTAGATTTCATAATGAAAACAACTTTTTTTTTTCAAAACTTTTTTTTTTATTCGCACGCGCGCATCAGTTTTGGGGCTCCCGGAGGATGTCATCCATATAATCAAATCAACATGGCCTAATGACAAATACTGTATCGTGTATAACATTAAGTATAATATACGTGTCCATACAACGATAGCAAGTTTTTCATCCATGTGTTACGTTATCTGCAATTGAAGCTTAGTAGGGCGAGTGAAGAAAAAAACACCAACCCCCGTTCAAAGCACTGGTCCAAGAGTCAGTGGATCAAAACAACTTTGGCTGATGCAATAAAAAAAATCCCCTTCGCCCAAACCATTACGTATGCTGTTTTGTTTGCCCCCACCCAAGAGCCTAGGAAAGTCGTGTCGACATAAGAGTTCTGCGCAGCAAGCAAAGCATCCATAACTTAGTGGAACTTCAACTTTTCGGTGAGTTATGTTACATATTTGTACATGTGGCAATTCAATATATCCCATGTTAATACCCTGGTACCACGGCAGTCACATTTGTTTGTAAAGCGTCGTACGATCTTGTTGTCGTAATTACGATTCCCAAGGAGTCCATGACAGAATCAACATACGACAAGGATCTAGGACAGCCGTTTTTGTAAGAAGGCAGTCAAATTTTACACGGAAATTGCAGTCCAACTATTCCAAGAATGTTTGCAATCAATCGTGCGACTATCCTACGACGAATAAGTCCGAGTCCTAAGTTCTTGTGCTGATAACATTGACTGCGTAGTTGAAGTGTAAATGGAGCATGACGTTGACACTTAAAGGGTTAAGCTGGTTTTCTCGACATTGACGTCAGGGTAAAAATGGGGGATCTCTAAGTAGATGTATGGCTTCAATTTCTTTTTACCCTTTTTTTGACAATTTTTACGTCTAACAAGTTGTGAAGGTTTGCACTAGATTGCACTTGTTAAGTGCTCTAGCGTTCTTTGTTGACATTGTGCGCCGTGTTTTTCAGCCCACTTTGTCATTCAAGCCGCGTTTATACAATTGAAACCTGTAATCGACACCAGAGTTCCTCTTTTTTTTAAAAGACGCATTGTTCAGGTACCAGCGCAAGGCAAAGCACTTAAATTACCTACAAGAGTACATGCCATATATAGTGGCTATGAGCTTTTGACACGTTATCACATATGAACCCTCTGCCTTTTGCAGGTTTGCTGAAATTTCGTCTTTGATATTCCTATTTGATTAGATTACATGCTATGTAAGCTCTTATGTCATTGTGTACAAGGCCGTTATCATCGCTTGTTAATAAAGGAAACGATGTCGACTGTTATGCCATACAGAATATTGCTGGACATTCACATAAAAGGACCCTCTTTCGAGTGACAACGGATCGGAGGAATGGCTATTCCTGCAGCTAACGAAGACGCGGCTCCCGCCGTCCCTGTCCCGGCCAACGGAGAGGCGGCTCCTGCCATCCATGTCCTAGTCAACTTACATGTAGAGGTGGCTCCTGCTATCCCTGTCCCGGCCGATGGAGAGGCGGCTCCTGCTATCCCTGTCCCGGTCAACGGTGAGGCGGCTCCTGCTAT